TTTCTGAAGAAAATTGTAAATTATGACCAAAACATGTAACAAAAAAAAAGATGAGAGTAGATTTTCCAAAAAAAAAGTTGTAATCGCAGCCTTATGTTTACAAAATAATTCTACTGCTGTTCCATGAAAGCTTTTAACTACCCAACCTTATCAACTACTGTTCACATCAAAATTAATTTTTTCTTCTTCATGTATTGGCTTTGAAGATAATATTGAAATTGAAAACAATTTTAATTATTATTAATTAATTAGACGTAAAAATAATAGTATTTAATATATTTCATATTCCTTTTTGAATTAAAAATAAATTTCTCATCAATTTTATCAAAATTTATCGAAATCCCAAAAAATTATAAATTGACAAGTACTTATTGCACAATTAATATTTGTCATTAATTATTTACAGCTTTAATACAAAATCACCAAATTATTAATAAAATTTAAAAAAAATGAATGAATGACAATTTAAAAAAAAAGACTGTATGGAAATTCCCTCAATAAACAAAAAGAAAAACCTTACCTGAACTTTCGCTTAGATTGAACGAAACACTTTCGACCGTTTGCGCCAGTTCGATTCTCTGTCTCAAAATTAGATACAATCTATTTTTGTGTATCAACGCTCGCTCCAGTTTTAACAGTTCTTCGGACACAAAACTCTCATGTATCTCGATTTCCCATTATAATTTTTTCATAAAGTCTGAAAAGTATAAATTTAGAACACAAACTGAAATCAATTACGAATTTATAACCTATACTTATTTGTTTTTTTTTTCGAAACGCTAAAAGTATAATATAAAGGGAAAATCTTATTTTAAGATTCACGTCTCAAATTAAATAAATCTTAAAAATGTAAGATTGGTCTTAATTTAAACTGACACTTTGCGTATCAAAATATAAGCTATTTGAATTAGGATTTAAATTTTACAGACTGAAAAAATTTTGGTTCAGCAGCTGTTCCAATCGACAAATTTTTATATTAACATCACTCATATAAAAGCCCGAGAAAAAATATTACCTAAGTATAAAATTAATTGAATATGGAAATTTTTCGTTGTACAAAAATTTTTTCAATGCAAAAAAATTAAAATTTTTATCTTTTTGAAGCCTTAAATTAAAAAAAAATCTGACAATATAAAAACTCTCTAAAAATTTGAATCAGTGAAATTTCACAAATTTGCAGTGAAATAACACTGATTTAAATATTCAAATGGAATAGAAACTCATATATTTCTGTCCTATAAATGGAATTAAAAAAAGAAGAAATTTTCCGAATTAAAAGGAATTAAAACTTTTAGGGTCAGTTTGGGTAAAAGGGGACGAAATCGCTTTTTTCACAAATTACGTAAGTTTCTTCCTTTAAAATGTAATATTTGACGGTTTATTTTTTTTAAGTTGTTATTTACATTCCCAGGATTAATTTTATGCAGCAGAAAAAAATTTAGATAAGCTCTAAACGCATGAGACTGTCCTCATTCACCCCAAAATTTAGAAAATTTCATAAAATTTGGGGTAAATGGGGACAGCATAGTTTCTAAGAAAGTTTTCAGAAAAAAGTTTCCTAAAGTATATTACTGTATTAAGGGATGAAAAAACTTGAAAAAAATTTGTAGTAGATAATATAATAGTTGAACCAATTAAAATTTTTTTATTTTTTTTTTATTTCAGTATTTTGTCTCGCATTTGAAAAAAACAAACTTAAAAATCATAGCAAAATTTTTTCTTATTCCTTATGATTCCCATAACAGAAATTCACTTGAATTTTTGATTTTTGTCAATTTGGTTAATAATGACAAGCTGTCCCCATTTACCCCAAAAATTTGAAAACTCAGGGTAAATGGGGACAGCTTGTCATTATTAACCAAATTGACAAAAATAAAAAATTCAAGTGAATTTCTGTTATGGGAATCATAAGGAATAAGAAAAAATTTTGGTATGATTTTTAAGTTTGTTTTCTTAGAAATGCGAGACAAAATACTGAAACAGTTTGACTTTGATTTACAAGTTTTTCTGCATTGAGCGATAACTTTTTTTATCTTGCTGCCAATTGTCAAAATAAAAGCTTGGCAATACTAAAAACCTCTTGCAGGTGATCTGAGGTTAAAATATTGACGTTGAACTTAATTTTTAAACTGTAAATTAAACTCCAAAAGCTCTTGTAATATTAATACAATAAACACCAATATTATTAACAATAAAACAAACAATATATCAAATATTTTTCAAATAACAAATTAGACCCAAAGACGCCGACGGTACGCCACAAAGCAGAAGCAGTAAAAATTGAGGTTATGTTTCTTCCTCGAGTTCGATATATCGATATATTGTAAACGATCGATTACTTAGTTTACTTTAAGAGGGAAAATTCAAACTTACTTTTTGTGTAATTCTTTCAAAATTGCAAGAAAATATTGTAATTTCCAAAAAAAAAAAAAAAATTCTTTTCTTCATATTTTATAAAAGTGTTCATAATAGTTAACGCAGTATCAACTATGAACAACTTTATTATTATTTAAATGATTATTTGATATATTTCCAAAAGTTTCGATGTTACAAAATTTTTTAATTTTTTATTTATTTTTATTTCTCTATTTTATTAAATAATAATAATAATATTTATACTGTTCAATAAAAATATTAATAAATAAAAAACTAATTAAATTAAAAATTCCGAAAGAAATTCATAAACATTGTTTAAATATAATATTGCTAAATAATAAATAGACTACGATAAAAAAAAATTAATAAATTCTTGCAATTTAAAATAAGATTTCCATAATTCTTTCCTGAACCTGTAGACTGCCGGAAAGTCTAAATTTAGGCTTTTTTCCTGGATTTTGCTAAACGCCGGCAGACTAAAATAATATTTTCTATTAACAGTGAATAAATTTCATTAAACATTTTTTCAATATTAACAAATGTTATCTAATTTTAAAAAATTTTGTTTAATTAAAATAAATTCTTATATGGTATTTTAAAAATTGTGTTTACTATAGTCACACTGATTATTTAAATCAAATAATTTTTGTATTTAAATTTTAATTTCTCTTTTTTATGTTTTTCGAGAGAGATTTAAAATAAAATTTAAATAAATTTCCCCGTTTAAGGGTAGGGTCAGTCGGGGTAAATCCGAACGGGGGGTAAATCCGAACGCTAATTATTTCAGCTTAATTAAAATTTTTAAAAATAAGTTCGATATGAGAATTTTTACCTCAGATCCTCTTGAAGAGATTTTAAGTATTATCCCATTTTTTGTTTGTTAATTATCAACAGCATAAACAAAGATAACAAGTATTGCAAAAAAGATTGAAAATCAAAGATGACACTCTTTCAGTATTTTGTCTCGTATTTGAAGAAAAAGAAGCTAAAAATTCATTTTATTATTTATAATTGTTTGTTATGAATACTAGAACAGAAACTATATTTGATTTTTGCCTTCTGTAAAATTTTATTAATAATATCAGACCGTTCGTATTTACCGAAGAAAATTGGAAAACTGGGGTAAATCCGAACGGTATTTTTAATAATTTTTTTTTACATCAAAGCCACACAAAATTGTTTTTATTTGATTACACTATTATTTTAACATTATAAAAGTACATAGAAAAAAGTTTTTTTTTCTATACGTATCCTCGTTAGTAATTAATAAGCAGAAACTTAATCTCTGTTCTCTCGAAGGAGTGTTTCAATTTTTTTGCCAAATGGTTTGTTGAAAAAAGTTTTTCAGGATCTTAATAAAATTTGGTATTCTACGGTTTTTGGGGTCGCTAATTACCAATTTGAAGTCAGTTTTTCAAAATTCAAAATGGCGGACGAGAATTAAAAAATTCATTGGATTCGCTCGAAAATTGTTACTCGGGGGGTTTCAGGGTTAGCAAATTTGATCATTTTTAAAAATAAGTTTTAGGAAAGTACGCCATTTTGAATTTAAAAAATTTGACTTTTATTTTTGTATTTACATTCAATCACTCCAAAATACTTTCTGTACCAAGTTTTGCAAAAATCCGTTATGATTTGATAAAGTTATTGAAGGTTTTATTTGTGTAATGCATTTTAATTTTTAACCTGTTTGATTTTTGTATTTATATATGATGCATTATTACATAATAGGTTTATTATCGTATTTTTTTTGAGTTTTTATATAAGTTTAACAATTGCAATACTTTAAATTTATTTTCCCTAAGATTTTTCTGAAATACAGTGGCGTTCGTATTTACCCCCATATTTTAGGAAAGTTGCAAAGTATCGAGGTAAATACGAACGCTAAGTTTCCTGCGATTGTAATTTATCAAAAATTTTTTCTACCCCATAAAATTGTTCTATGGAAGTAAAGTAACAACTTCATGCACCAGAATACCGGAAGTATTGTCTTTTAAAAGAAAAAACTTATGTTATTGTTGAAACTTACTAAAAGCGTTCGGATTTACCCAAGTTGACCCTATGTGGGCAAAGGACGTTTTTTTGTGGTTTGAAACTTTCTCTGAAATAAAAAATGATTTCGGGTTAAAATTTTGGAGAAATGATTTTGTTTGGTACAAGGAATCTCGCTATTCTACTCATTTACCATAACTTAACGCAAAAATAATAATAATAAAGCAATAAATAGTAAAATAATGTATTATATCATAGTTCATTCAGCGGCCACTTGCTCGAATTGGCGCTGTTTACTGGAGCACTGACACACTCAAGCAACGTCTGTGTATGCGCCGCCATGTTTCTTTTCATTTTCGTTTAAAAATCACACTTTTTAAACTTCATTTTTTAATAATTTAACGCAAAATTATGTATTTTTCGGAGAACAGCGAGATTCCTTGTACCCTAATCTATCATCCCTCAAAATTTTAGACAAAATACTTTTCTCATTTTAGAGTGAAATATATACTACCAAAACACATTTTCCCATACTTGGTCACGTGGGAGGTTCCCACATACCCTTAAATTATAATAGAATAGAAAAAAAAGAGGAATAAAAAGTTTAACGAAATATTTGACCTTTTTTTCAGAAATAGCTGTGAACCAATATTCCTGAAAGATGTCAAGGCACATTCTTAGCAGGCCACGTACGCGTGTCTATGGATGCAATTACGACAAGGGTGAATCCTATTATAAGCCAATGGTGGACCATCTCGACCGGAAGTACAGTGGTCGTCCTCTATTCTCCGAACCAAGAAATTCATTAGCCGATGAAATTGCGGCTCGCCGAAGTGACATCGGTAACATCTTCAATCGTTTTCCAAAATGGTTTTGAGGAATGAAAACGTATTGCATCCTTCTCGTCCACCCGCTCGTCTCCCCCACTTCGTGGATCTGTTTAGAATTCTCCTGACGTTACGTTCCGTCTTATAATATGCAAATTAGAAAACCTCTAAATATCCCCCATTTCTCCGAATCCAAAATTGCTGCCTTTCTTTTTGATTCACTCACACGTTCATGTTTTTTTTTCATTTATTTCCATTAATTTTTAAAACAAATTGAAAAATATTTTTTATTTTAAAAAATAGAAATTTTTTTATTACTAAAAATGTAGAAATTTTTTTTTCGAAATTATATTTATTGCAAGGAACATTTAATTATTTAGAGGAGAGTATTTATTTTTCTATATAAAGTTTAATGTAAAGTAAATTTACTATAGTGTAAGGAGAATCGATTAAAGACAGCAATTAAAATTTATATATATTTTGACTAATAAGCATCTTTGGTTTTTTTTTCAAAAAAAGGGCGTGTAGATAGTTTTTTTTTGTTTTTTCTCCCGATTTTAATGTGTCTATTGTCACTGTTATCAAATCCTACAATGTTGTCCATAATCATTATTGTATTGGAAAACTTGGCTGTTTAATAAACGTCTACTTTTCTAAAACGTCTGACTTTGTATCGACAAAAAGGCCAGTGCGTTCGTTTAAATACAATTCTCGCGATTACCATCCTTCCTTCAATTTCTTTTCTGCTTACATCCATTTTTTATTTATTTTTCATTATTTAATTATAAACAAATTTTAACCCTTTTGTATTTAAAATTTAATCACGGATATCTTTTTATATTATATGTGAAATATGAAATACAATTTTTTTTTCAATGGATTTTCAAAAAACGAGAAAAAAGATAATTAACAATGTTAGAAAAAAACGAAAATTCAATTCAATTGTTCGTTTCAAGTTTTTTATAATATATCACAGAAGCAATAACAGGTATGATAAAAGAAAAATTTCGTTTATTTATTTAAAAAAAAAAAAGTTTAGAAAAAACGCAAAAACAATTTTTTTGTTAAAAATAATTACTCTTGAATTTGAAATTTTGAAAAATATAGAATTTTTGGGACGCATTATTATGTTTTAAAAATCATTAGTTAGATTTTTCATTTTGTGGAATTTCATTTGTCATAATTATTTTTTAGCCGAATTTTTATTTGTTCGAATTAGTATTTTGCAGAATTTTTCATCAAAACGATTTTCTATATTACAGAATTTTTATATAACCAAAAATTCACTTCACAGAATTTTTATTTGTCAGAATTTTTATTTACTCGAATTTTCATTTAACACAATAGGCATTTTAAAGAATTTTTATTAGGTAGAATTTCATTGCGTACCTATAGAATTTTGTTCGAATTATTATATGATATAATTTCCATATAACCAATTCTTTATACTACATAATTTTTACTTAACTGAAAAATCATTTAATAGAATTTCTAATTGATAGAATTTTCATTTGTCCGAAATTACAAATGACCGAAGCAACAATCGATTTTGGCGCGATTTTTAAAATCAACCAATCACAATTTTATGTATAATTTTTAATTGGTTGATTTTAAAAATCGCGCCGATATCTTTCTGTCGATTGTTTGTTCGGCCATTTGCAATTTCGGACAAATGAAAATTCTATCAATTAGAAATTCTGTTAATGGTTTTTCGGTTAAGTAAAAATTCTGTAGTATGAAAAATCAGTTATATAGAAATTATATCAAATAATAATTCGAACAAATGAAAATTCATCTGAAACAAAATTCTATGCAACGAAATTCTATCGAATAAAAATTCTTTAAAATGCTTATTATGTTAAATGAAAATTAGAGTAAATAAAAATTCTTTTAAGTAAATTTTCGGTTATATAAAAATTCTGTGAAGTGAATTTTCGGTTATATAAAAATTCTGTAATATAGAAAATCGTTTTGATGAAAATTCTACAAAATAGTAATTCGAACAAATAAAAATTCGACTCAAAAAATAATTATGACAAATGAAATTCGATAAAATAAAAATTCTAACTAATGATTTTTAGAACATAATCATGCGTCCAAAAATTTTTCAAAAAAATTTGCAAATAACATAAAAATGAGAATTTTATATTCAGAAATCAATTTCTTTAAAATGTATTTCATATCTCTTGGACAAGATATCATCTAAAATGTAAATATAAAGTAAAACTAGAAAAATAAGATTAAAATAACAAAATAAAAACAAAAAATATAAAAATAGTACATTTCTAACACTTGTAGTTTACTGAATTTTTTGTCATTAAAAACTATTTTAATACAATACTTTGATAGATAAAAATTTAAAGCAAAAACTTTTTATATTCCGAAAAAATTTATATTCTTAAATCGTATTAAAATCACGAAATAGACAATATTTTGATTTTATTTACTTATTTTTTTTTTTTTTTTTGACAATTTCTGTTTTTGATTGACCTTCACTGAGGGATGTTTTCCACACACATTAGCCTTGGCATTGAGTCAGTGACTACATATAAACTATAGATATATATAAATATATGTATAATTTGGAAAATTAGACGTGCGGTGTGATGAATAATGGTGACATTGAAAAATACGAAAATCGTGGGAGACGAGGATGCATTTGTGAAAACGTGTGAGAGGGATGCTAATTTTAAAATCTGTCGTCGGTTTGGCTAATGTCGCGGACACGATGGCCTTGAACTACTTTCCAATCTTACGTTGGAAAATTATTTCCGCAATCGTTGGAGCAATCGTGACGACAAAAATAGGGTCGACTTGATATTATAAGTGCCATGTATACCTACGTAGATGTATATATATATATATACATAAGTTCATGCAACTGCGAAAAATCAACTTTCTCGTACGTTGACCCAGATCTCAAAAGACTTTATAATTACATATATTAATGACCTCGACAATTTTCTAATAATTTGTGCGATTTCAGGGAAAGAGATTATTTTTTTTCTGTGTTTCATAGCCAAGTTTGACACACACACGAGTTTTAAATATTAAAAATAGGATCAACTCTTAAAAATAACTTATTAGATTCTCATCTTTTTAAATTTGCGGAAAAAACTAATTTGTCTCATATAGTATTGTAAAAAACAAAATTTTTCACATTTAAAGTAAAAGTACTATTTTATTTTTTTTCATGGTTAAAAAATTAAGTGAAAATAATTTAATAAATGAAACTTATTTGAATAATTTTAAGGGATTATCAACAGTCATAGAGCGAAAAAATTGATGTTTTGTAAGATTCCTGAAAATCAGCACCAATTTCCATTTTTTTTCCAAATTCATATGGGCGAATTTCTTTTGGATTAAAATTTATAAAGTAGTATTGATATTGTACCGAATAATTTACCGAAATTTTGTGCAGTTAATTCCTCTGTTCACAATTTTTCTCTTATCGCGATTCATATTTTTATGATTAAGAATCATAACCTAAAAAATTCAGTTCAACTTTTTCTTTTTAACGAATGCCACATCTCTGTCTTATTATTAATTGTTTAATTCATTTTCAATTAATTATAATACTTTTTAAATTATTAAATTTAAAAAACTATTACCTTCAAAGACAATACAGGAATAATCGGATGAATTAGGTCAGTCGGCAGAGTTGGGTAGCCAAATTTATATTAAGTACCTTTAAGGCCCCATCCCCATGTTATAGTAGAAATACAGAATGCAAAACAGAAAATTATGAAAGAAAGAGAAATAGGAATGTTGCACCATCCTTTTCAAATAAATTATTCTATTTTGCATTCTGCATTTCTGCTCACATGGAACTGCACTTTAAATCTGTTTTACTTTACAATTTTCCATCTGAATTTCCTAAATAAAATTGTAAATTATGACATACACTCGTGGGCAGATATGGCTACACTTTTTTGTCCTTTTACAACACACGTGTTGCTATAACAAAATGTACGTTAGAAAAGGACAAAAATAAGTGTAAACGAGTGCACTTATGCTCAAATCATAGAAAGATGAGAGTATTAGGCTGTGTCAGTTCATCGAGATATTTCGAGTTCAAGAAATGACGTCAGAGGTCTGGAGGGACAACAAACAGACGACACAATATTATTCTTATGAGGAAGAAAATTAGTTTCCACTTTCATCAATTTTATTCATATTTTAAACAAAGAAAACGCTTGTTGGCATATAATAAAATTAAAATGTGTGTTGATAATTAATTTTGTTATATATTTGATTAAATTGCATTGATAGATTCTCTGAATTCGTGATAAAATATAAATTTTGAGGTTAGGGGTGTTTGTTTACTAATCACATTTTACATTCTAACAGTACATTATTAGACAATATCCAGTATGCATGTTATTAAAAAGATATAAAATATATATTTTAAGTGGGAATTACCGCAGCAGTAAAAGATTGCAAGTTAGTAAACAAACACCCCTAACCTGAAAATTTATATTTTATCACGAATTCAGAGAATCTATCAATGCAATTGAATCAAATATATAACAAAATTAATTATCAACACACATTTTAATTTTATTAGATGTCAAAAAGCATTTTCCATGTTCAAAGTATGAATAAAATTGATGAAAGTAGAAACTAATTTTCTTCCCCATAAGAATAACATTGTGTCGTCTGTTTGTTGTCCCTCCAGGCCTCTGACGTCACACCTAGAATCGATTCTGACGTCACAAGTGACAGAGCCTAATAATTTCCAAAAAAAAGTTGTAATCGCAGCTTTATGTTTACAAAATAACTCTACTGCATAGTAAAATATTGCTTGTACCTATACATTACCAATTTGTATTTGTACAAAAATTTGTAAAATTACATGATTAAATTTAATACGGTAAATTAAATACATTGAATGTGAAATTTTTCTGTAAATTTACCCCTTAAATGGAGCGGTCACACCTCGGCTGCAGGAGCAGTTGCCCATGGCAACTGTGTAAGAGTAAGAGAGATAGAAGATTTTCCATCTCTCTTACTCTTACACGGTTGCCATTGGCAACTGCTCCTGCAGGCGAGGTGTGACCGCTCCATCAAAGTGGATAATAATTTTGTCCAATTCTTATCTGCTTTGAAAGTGGTAAATTTATAGAAAAATGTAAAACTGACACATTTAATGTATTAAATTTAACGTATTTATTGAATCATATAATTCTACAAATTTTTGTACAAATACAAATCGGAAATGTATAGCATGTAGGTTGGTATTGGGAACGGTGGTCTAGTAACAATCTAGTAACTTTGACCCATTCTCTCCCTCCATTTTGTTTTTTCTACTCTTTCTAACCTATTAATTGAAGAGAGACAAAGAAAGAAAATGGAGGGAGAGAATGGGTCCCCACCAGATGGCGTATTGCAGTTTAGCCGATCCCAATCCATTGTCACCACTCGCCATTTGTTATAATTCTCGTCAACTACCGCACCCTGTTCTAGTGAAAATTTAGTGACTTTATAATAACTTTTAATTTCAACAATAAAGTTATTAAATTTTCACTAGAGCAGGGTGCGGTAGTTGACGAGAATTATGATAAATGACGAGTGGGGACAATGGAAACCAACCCCTAGGTACACTCGTGGCCAGATATGCTTACAGTTTTTGTCCTTTTCTAACGCACGTATTGTTTTGGCAACACGTGTGTAAGACAAGGACAGAAAAAAAGGAAAGGCATCAATGACAACTTGTGAAGAAATATTTTTACAGTGACTATTACATAAAAACTTTTAACTATCCAACCTTGTCGACTCTATAAGTTTCCTGCAGATTCTGAAAGTTATGGAGGTTCTACAATAGATGCAAAAAGCAAGTGCTATTTTGGAACCTCCTTAACCTTACTTGGGTTAACGTTCGGTTTTTTTGAAGAGTTATTAAATCAATAAAATGTAAAGAAAAACAGTATATTTTAAAAGATAAATGAATTAGAAGAGTCAACTTATTTAGGAAATGTAATAATTAATAACTAATATTAATTGTGTAATAAGTACACTTGTGGCAAGAAATGCCTATACTTTTTTGTCCACACACGCGTTGCCATGACAACATGTGCATTAGAAAAGGACAAAAAAAGTGTAGGTATATCTTACCACAAGTGTACCTGTCAATTTATCATTCTCTGAGATTTCGAAATATTTTGAGAAATTGCCCTCACACAGCACCGAAACTTTCCTGAAAATTGAGTAAATATTTACTTGCAATATATTTGGAATATTTAATTGTGAAAAAATATATATAAAATAGAAATTATGTTAAATAAAAATTCTCTTGAAATGCGGTTCAATTCTCTACTTTACAAAATGCAGCTAAAATGAAATTCGAACTAATGAATTTTAAAATATAAAATTATGCGTCTCCAAAATACAAATAAACAGCAATACGACTCGATATCTTAAAAAAATTCAAAGAATATTCTCAGAAGGCAATAGACTATTTAAAAAAAATTAAAAAGAGTTAAAAACATATTTTTCCAAATTTGGACTTTTGGTGGGTTGCAGGGACCCGCGACCTTGCAGGGAGTCGGCAGTCGACCTCTGGTCGTGAATTCGAACCCGAATTCGAGCCCAGATCCCGCACCATACCAACAATCAGCAACGATCCTTTCTTTGACGATGGAGATGAAACTGTGTTCGACATTCGAGGTCAACGAACATCACGCACACGTCGACTTCCATTGAGTGAAGATTTTGCCAACGAGGTGGCATCAACAACTCGAAAATTAAAATCACGCGTTGCTGCCTTCAATCTCGATGCAACTGAAGCTTTGGACGCTGAAATTGGCCTCAAATCACGATCAGAGAAACTCTTCCACGATACGGCAAAGTCAGCAAAATCAGCATTGGAAGATGCTGAAAGTGCATTTAGAAGACGTCCAAAATTTCGAACTGACGAACCCGATATTCCCGAGGAGAGGCCAACGAGATGGTCAAAACTTTTGGATTCGTCGGAAAATCTCGAGGATTTTACAAGTGCTGCCGCCGGTAGAGCTAAATTAACTAAGGCTAGACTTAATGATCTTGAAACTGAAATGGAGGAAATGGCCGAGAGACAAGCCAAAAGGGAACGAAGAGCCGCTGCTCTTAGGGCTCTTGTTAATGAAAATTCAATGGCTGATGATAGCTTATTAGCCTCGAGTAATATCAGTAGCAAAACTTCCATGCGCTCCGAACGGGCCGAGAAACATGTTAGCTTCTAAATATATTAAGAATTACATCTCCAATTTGGGGATTTATTGTATAATAATTTATTAAAATGATAAATTGCTAATTTCGATTTTTCAAAGAACTGCTCATTTACCTGTTCTTATAAAAAAAAATTCTCCGCATATATTTCAATTCATTTAAATTAAATATAATGATTCCTTTCATCTTTGTTTTACCAAATGACATATATATTCAAATATAAAATATTTGCCATTTCATTATAAAATCGACGCCTCCCATCCATATAATCATGACTCAAATGTCAGAACTATATATAATCGTAACTCGGAGCTCAGTTCAATATGAACGTAGTTAATTTTCAGAAGAATAAAATCGTATCTCAACGTTCAGTTCTATATAATCGTATCTCAAAATTTTATTCTATATAATCTATCGCAAAACTCAACGTAATTATTATAATTATTATTCAAGCTTTATTTTTATTTTACAAAAGCTTAAATAATAATTATAATAATTACGTTGAGTTTTGCGATAGATTATATAGAATGAAATTTTGAGATACGATTATATAGAATTGATCGTTGAGATACGATTTTATTCTTCTGAAAATTAACTACGTTCATATTGAACTGAGCTCCGAGTTACGATTATATAGTTCTGACATTAAGTTACGATTATATGGATGGGAGACGTCGAAATTAATTTTTTAAATAAAACATGAAATGGTAATTTAAATTTTTGTCACATTGGTTAATTTCACAGGAATTGAATCGTTTTATTGAAAACAAAAATTATTTTTTTTAGTCAGAAATTTAATTAATCAGTTAAAAAATATTTCATTTTGGTTTTTATCTCATTTAAGTCAAATTAATTATTTCATATTTGTCATACATTATTTATTTAATTTACATATATTCATCTTAAACTTGTATATAGTTTAACTATATAATATGTACTATGCAAAATTTCTGAAGAGATCAAATTTAAAAAAAAATATATATTTCTTAGATCGAGCTGCAATTTGCATAACATTTAGTACTATCTGTATTTCACCCATAAATTATTATTATTAATTTTTATCAAAAACTGTCAAATTTTAGCCAAATGTGAACATTGGTTTTTTTTGAAAAATCATAACTATTGTATAAAAGGGTGAAAAAAAATTTCAACAATTTCAACAAACAGACGACACAATGTTATATTCTTACGGGGAAGAAAATTTGTTTCCACTTTCATCAATTTTATTCATACTTTAAACACGTCATCTGACGCCTCTGACGTCATATCTTGAACTCGAAATATCTCGATGAACTGACACAGCCTAATATGCACAAAAAATTCAGTTACTACCCAACTCTGCTTTCGTGCAACAATACAGACGTTGAGTTGTAATTTCCCAGTTCTGATTATTTACGCACTGTCGTCAGCTGTCAGTTGTATTAGTCAAAGATATTTTTATTAATAGACAATAATTATAGGAAAAATATTTCCACATGCAATTACTTATTTATATAAAATTTGTGGATTTAATAAGTTAAGTGTAAAATTACTAATATTTTTATTAAAATTAGACAGTTTACTCAAATATGACATCCATTTTTCTAGTAATATTTTAGTAATATTTTTGTCCATCACAAATTTATCCTTTACCCTGTATCCTAACGACTTTTATCCTCTATCTTTACAACTTTTTTCTGTATACATTTTAAAGGGTAAAAAAAGAAAAAAAAATTCAAAAAAGGGTAAATTTTGAATTAAAAAAAAATTGTACCATTTGCAAGAGCAGGAAAAAATCTTTCAAAAAAAGGTCAAAATTTGTTTCACCTTTTTATACAATAGTTATAATTTTTTAAATTAATTATGATTTTTTAAAAAATCCGCTGTTCACATTTTTGCTATTGGATCACTTGAGAAATTTTGCCCCATAGGCAAATAGTGCTTCAACTAAAAAAAAAATAAATAATTCTCAGAAGAAAGTAAATAAATGTGTTAAAATTCATTTGTATATTACAATTTTGAATTTTTAAAATATTTAAAATTACGCAGCAAATATTTAATTGAAAAATTTTTTTTCTCTCCATTCTCTACAAATTGAAAAATAATTTTCAATAAAAAAATAAAATTTTTTTTTTATATATTTGTTTCCTTCTTTAAGAAAACAAAATCCTATATTTTAGGTTTAAAAATTTCTTTTTAATTATTTTTTATTAAAAAAAGCTCTGTTTATAAAAATAAATATCCTTAAAATATATTCTTCTTTAAATGAATGTTTTTAATTTATCTATATTCACATACAAGTTTTATTTTCCACTAAATAATAAACGCAATTAAAACAGAAAATTATATTTACCAAATAAAATGATAATAATAATAATTTAACATTTCTTATTTAACAGAAAATAATCAAAACTGAATGAATTTATGATATATTTTGTGAATTGTCCGAATATTTCCAAATATTTTTTTTATACATTACGTAAAATTGAAAAAAAAAGTGTTTCACTTTTTGTTAATATAAAAAGTCAATCAAATGTATTCTCCTTTTCATATAAAATAAATAATGAAATATTAAGAAATGAATCGTTTTTTTTTCTTGCATGTTTTTGTGTAAATCCTTTAATTTATATTTCCTTGATCAAAATTGAAAAAAAATAATTTTCTTTCTCCTGCATGCGCCTAAAATTGCATTTTTTCTGTGAATAGATTAAAATTTAATTCAATATTTATTTGATAGTAATAAAGAAACCGCATCTATTTGAATTAAATAATATTTATTTTAATACATGAAAATAATATAATAAAAAATTTAAAATCAAAGCAAAAACTTTGTCAATTTGCTTCTATCAAAATATTTTTTTTAATTTTTAATTTTTTTTTAAAAAAAGGAAGACAGTTATAAACTGAATTTATTATTTTTATAAAAGAATTTCAAAAAAAAAAAAAAAATTACTAACCGCTGTTGCTTATCCACTAACGTTTCAGGATCTCGAGGTTTATCAGGAAATTATAGTGAATTTGATGATTTCGACTTTTATGATGGACGCGGTCGAATGATTCCAGAAGAGAATATGGATGAAGATTATGTAGCAACTCATCGACGTTTTAGAGAGCGAGCTGCTGCTGCCTTTGAAGAAGATTTAGCAGAGCTAAGACGTAAACGAAGAGATATGCAGGTTAAATTTAAATTTCATCAACCAAATAATAATTAAAAATCATTTTATGTATAACTAAATAGATTTTCTTTTCCTCAGACCTTATAACATAAAAGTTGTACCTATATTATTATTATTTTCTTCTTTCAAAACTATATATTATATGGGTCAATCCATTATATTTCGAATGAAGTCGTCGCTGACTAATTTTTAAAAATTATAATACTTTGCAGGAATGATTTTGAAGTAATCAAGATCACGAAATGAAAAGAATTTTATTAAAATTTTAATTATTTATTGCAAAATATGAATTTAAAGTATATGAGGTGCTGAAAACTGTCAATTTTTTAGCCATTAGAAAATATGCAAAAATACGTAGAATTTACCATAAAAATAAAATTTTTTTTTTATAATTTACTAAGAATAAATAAATTTATCATTATCAATTGATGTAATTATTTAAATATGTGAAATAATATATAAAATATGATTTTCAAGTTCGCCTGTCAAATAACCTAAATTTGCAAATTTCATCTATTAAATGTGAGAAAGAGAAGTCATTAAATTGAAAAAAACCTTACCAAATATAAAGTACCTGTGACTAACTTTTAGTTTTTCTTAGCACTTTTTTCCTTTTTCTTCATAAATGTGAAATAAAAAGCAATAAAAATTGGCACTTTGCTTATTTTCACTATTTTCAAATGTAAATAACTTTCTTGGAGAAAACTGAAAAATTACAAAACTTGGGCAATATCTAATTGATCACTAAATACACACACTGGAAAAAAATTCGCTTTGGTCCCGAAGATACTTTTTGAGATAATTAAGTTTAAACTTTTCACAATTTTATCAGGTTAATACATGTAGTTTTTTAAGGACGAAGTTAGGTTTTATTGGTTAAACATTTTGAACTAACTTCAATTTTATAAAAATCACATGCATTAACCTGATAAAAATTGTGAAAAATTTAAACATAATTATCTCAAAAAGTATCTTCGGGACCAAAGCGAATTTTTTTCCAGTGTGTGTAGTTAGTGATCAATAAGATATTGCCCAAGTTTTGTAATTTTTCAGTTTTCTCCAAGAAAGTTATTTACATTTGAAAATAGTGAAATTAAGCAAAGTGCCAATTTTTATTGCTTTTTATTTCACATTTATGAAGAAAAAAGGAAAAAAGTGCTAAGAAAAACTAAAAGTTAGTCACAGGTACTTTATATTTGGTAAGGTTTTTTTCAATTTAATGACTTCTCTTTCTCACATTTAATAGATGAAATTTGCAAATTTAGGTTATTTGACAGGCGAACTTGAAAATCATATTTTATATATTATTTCACATATTTAAATAATTACATCAATTGATAATGATAAATTTATTCATTCTTAGTAAATTACAAAAAAAAATTTTTATTTTTATGGTAAATTCTACGTATTTTTGCATATTTTCTAATGGCTAAAAAATTGACAGTTTTCAGCACCTCATATACTTTAAATCCATATTTTGCAATAAATAATTAAAATTTTAATAAAATTCTTTTCATTTCGTGATCTTGATTACTTCAAAATCATTCCTGCAAAGTATTATAATTTTTAAAAATTAGTCAGCGACGACTTCATTCGAAATATAATGGATTGACCCATATAGAATAACATTTTTTACATGACCATAAACAGAAAACAGTAATTTTATTTATAAAACATTTTGATACTCATTTTTACTAGTTAAATAATAAAATGCTTGATTATTGTTTTAAAAATATCAGAATTCTAATAAATATTTCTACACTATAAATAAATTTTTAAAAAAGATTCTTCAACATTTATTTTTAGTAATTAAAAATTTTTGTTTTCAAAAAGTCGTTTAACAATAATTACAATGAGATATTTATTGTTAGAAAGAGAAAAAGTGAATTATATACTTTAAGAATCATCAACGTAAATAATATAAATATTA